GGAAAAAAAAACCGAAATAAATAAAGAAAATGACAAATTTCCAAATGTGAATGATAGAGAAGAAGCACAAGTATTAGGAATCATGGAACAAACAAATTCAACAGTTTTTGTTTCAACAGAGGAAACTGAAATTGAACAAAGATTAAAATCAACGACTTCATTACAACCAACTGAATCTTTTGCAACGGTTAGAACTCCATCAACACCGTTTACTGAATTAAATGAATTTAAATATGAAGAAAAAATTGAACAATCATCAGAAGCTCAAATGAACAATGAAACTATGAATGAGGACATTCCAGATGATTTACTTAAGTCAACAGATGGAGATGTTGAAATGATGGAAATTGATAAAAATGATAAGATTGAAGAACCAATACCTTCACAACTTCAAGTAACTACAATAGATTTACCTAAGCATGAACAAATAAGAAGGCTTACGAAGGAAAATGTTTCACCCATAGACTCCGAAGCTACACCACGTGAAGATACAAATATGGAGGTAGATGAGTCAACAAATGAAACATCAAACTTTCAAGATTCGACAAAAAACCTGCAGAATGACCGTTATGTAACTTCACCGGGAGCGATTACCGAAGAGAGAGAATCTGAAAAAGGAGAAAATTTCGAAGCAACTGGAGCAGATGGAGGAGAATCAGAGGAAGTTATTGGATCTCCTGATGAACAAAATGAATCAGATAATGATAAAACTTCTATAACGGAGATTGAGATGCAAGAAAATAGACCAAATCTAACATTGGATACTATCAAAAGTGAAGGATCCTCAGATACTACGGAACCTGCAGGATCTTTTTGTGAAGAAGAACCTGTTGAAAGTTCTAAGACGGAAATATCAGAAATTAAGCATGAAACTATTTATGATGATAACATGCAAATGGTAGATTCGCAATCACTAAATGAGGAAAATGAAGAAATGACGTCAACAACATCCCAAACTGAGTTTAAAGAGCAACTTTCACCATCAGTAACAACGTCTACCCACCACATGGATACAATTACAAATTCTAGTCCAGGCGATGGTAATTATGGTAAGAAAAATTACATTTTTCCCATTTTTTCGAAAGATAAATTTTTTTTTAAAAAAATATATATATATTTTTTTTTTACAAACGAGCAGTTCACGAAAGTGAGACTATCTCAGGAGCCGACGCATCTGGTATTATTTAATTTTATATATCATGTACTTTTTTAAGTAGAAATTATTTAAAATTTTCATCATTTCCATCAAATTATAGAAAATGACAAAAAGCAAAAGACCTGGTTAAAACTAGCCATGATGATGTTACATGAAATTGGCAATCATAAATTTGCTAGTGTCTTCCAAAACCCAATAAAAGAGCAAGATGCACCAGGATATTATAGTATTGTCAAACAACCGATGGATTTGAAAACTTTGAAGAAACGTTTGCGCGATGGAGTATGTAAATTTCTTTGGTTTAGATTAAAGTCAAATTAATAGATTGGTGACCTTGAATGAATAATAAAAAGAAATATCATAATATTATTAAAAAAATTTACATAATTGAATTTTTTTTATAAATATGTATAATTTCAGGTTATTCAAGACACAGATCAATTCCATCGAGATCTTATGCTAATGTTTATGAATGCATCAGTATTCAACCGAGAAGGGGATATTAATAAAATGGCATCACAAATGAAAGAACACGCCGAGAATCTAATTCAAGGATTTAGAAGTGAAGGTTCAGTCGGAATACATGAACCTGCAACACGAAGAAAGAGCATGGCTTTTGAAGGTACGTGGTACGTAATCGATTGTTTTTTTTATAATGAATTTATTTCAATCATCATAAGAATTTCTTTGATTTTTTTTTTTTTTTTTAGCAAAAGAAGCGATCATAATTCCAAAGGATGACCGACGGAATTCTACAGACAAGTCTGGTACAGGTTCTTCGCGCCACGGGACTACATCCCAATCGCCGGTTGAAACGTCAGAACAACGACCGA